CGAAATCGCTTTTTTTATTACCTTGGGACCCTTGTGACGTACAAATACCGAATCGAACTGTAGTACAGAGATAGGTACCTACACATACATGCATAGCACGTCTGTAAAACAATACACCAGGGATGAAATCTTCAAATTTGAATATGACCTGTGTGCCTTCACCTTTCACGCCTTCGTCACCTGTCCTTGACCTAATACATGCTCAACCGAAAGGAATAATATTTAAATCTAGTAAATTGAAAATAAACAATTAGAAGAATTTCGCCAATTACCTTTATTATTTTTGACAATATTGTGGTCACTATCAATAGTATTACTAACGTCAATATTAAACAAATCAAAATTTATAAACCACTAACCCTTAACTATTATCGTGTTTTCCCGAAAAGTAACTGGATGCTTTGATGCTATAGTTAGATAATAACACCTTAAACTAATTATTTTCAGTAAACGGAAACTTAAATTTTTCGAAAACGTTTTTACATTATAATACTCTTTTATTATAATTTGATAGCATTTGAAGAGGGTATATATCATTAAAGCGCTCTTACCAAAAGAAATAATCTAAGCAAAGTGAAACTGACACATACATCTTGATGATACGTAAGAAAGGTCGTGAAACAGGTGTCTCACATCGTTTCGTCTTACATCATTTGGTCAGTAAAACTTCTTTTTGAGTTTAATGTACAAAGAAGCGAAGACTACCCCTGTAGCTTGGGAGCTATCCACTGAGGAAAGCACGAAGTGATATTAAGCTACTCAAACCTCTTCTTAATAATATTTTGAGGTTAGAATCAATACAGAAATCAACTGAGCGGTTTTGTGTTGATTTGTGTCGTAACTCACGTTTGTTGGAAAGCACCTGTATTCAGATAAATGTCACTTTAGCAAACATTCTTTGTCGCTAAAAACGACTTGTTTGTGATTTAAGCAACGTTTGCATTTATCTCCATGTTTATATCATCAACGACACGAATAATATAAAAAAAGGTTTCGAAAATCCATTTTTCGATCGTTGAATCTCCCAGTTACATAAAAGACAAAATACACCGACATAAATGGAATGATAATATCTTCGAATGTTCCTTGAGGGGTACGCCAATGATTGAAAAAGGTCTTTTACGATCACGGTTTGGCTGAGTCCACTTATGTTTTTGCTGCAGGCTTACGACCCTTACCAACCCGTTCGACATGCATGAAACGTGCGCATTGTAAGAATCAGCTCCGAAAATAAATGGGATTTACCGAAGAAAATGGCAAATATGTATTCCATTCACGACTCCTTAAATAAATGATCGTCAAGATATAACGATAAAGGCATAAGCCAAAAACTAAACAACTCTATACTTCAAACAGGTTGAAAGAGAAGGAAATTTTTTCTCCGCTGAGAGATAGCTAAAAAATTGAAACTAATTACTCAGACTTTATAGCTGCACTTGAAGGTTGACAATCATAAAAATCGATATTTTAGTAAGACGCGAGTACATTTTTAGATATATCAAAAGATGAAGATCATCTACTGCTTCAGCTTCATTTCCAAAATACATTTCTAAGATTTCTCTTCATATGATCTTGGTTATTTATTCCATAATTAATAAGAATGATTCTCATTTTTTAATTAATAAACAAATGAAATTTGTATATACTGAAAACATATGGCGAAGGTGCTGGACACCATTATCATTGAAAAACAAAGAATAAAAAGGACAGCGTAATGCGTTAACTTTTCTTGATATATGTTAATCATGCAGGATAAGGAACTATCAGAGCCGATTCAATAGTTTAGAAGGAGATTGCGAACATATACCTTCATGAAAAAGGGATATGATGCATTGTAAGTTCGGCAAAGTTGAATATAAGTATTATTTTGGTTTAGTGCTTATATACCAAATCATCATCATAAGTTCGTCAGTCCTAAAACTGGTTGGACCTCCAGCTCCACTCTTTCCTATCCCGAGCTAATCTTCACATATTCCTAAAGCTAGAATAACCCACATCCTTAACTATTTGTGAACTGTAATCTAATCTAGATCTACCTCTACCCCTCCTAACTCCCGTTTCTGCCTCTGAGAAGGTGTTTTACTAACCTATCTCGCCTTTTTCTCATTGATTACCATAGAGTCCTCTGTTCTCCTATTCTTTCTAATATCTTTTCATTTCTAACCTTCTCTATCCACGGTATCCTCGTCATTCGCCTGTAAAACCACATTTCGAACGCTTCTAATTTTTTCTATTCCGCCGCGCTCACCGTCCATGCTTCGCACCCGTACAGCGCCGCGCTCCAAACATACACCTTTACCAATCTTTTTCGAATTTCGAAATTAATCTTTCGCGAGCATAGAAGTGACTTGTTTTTATTGAAGACGACTCGACCCTGCGCTATCCTCTGTCCTGACTTATCTAACTTCTTCGATACTTAAATCAATCACTTCTTCTAATCTTTCGTCTCCTATCTTTATACTTGCTCTTTTCCTATCATTCGCCTGTAACACCACACTTGGAACGCTTCTAACCTTTTCTTTTCCGCAGCGACCACCGTCCATGTTTCGCAATCGTATACCTTTTAACAATATTTTTCGAATTTCTAAATAAGCCGTTCCCAAGCATAGGATTGACTTCCTTTTATTGAAGGCCACGCGACCCTGCGCTATGCTGTGCTTTATATCCCTAATACTCCTTCCTTCCTGATTTATCTGACTTCCTGGATACCTAAAATCAGCCACTTCTTGTAATCTTTCGTCTCCTATCTTTATATTCGCTCTTTCCCTACTTGACCTTCCTTTGTATACCAACATTTTGGTTTTACTTTTATTTATTTTCATACAATACTGTTTTGTCAATACCGCTTCCATTTTATTGAAAGCTATCTTTAACTCCTCCTTGCTAGATGCTAATACTGCTGTATCATCTGCAAATCTAGGCATACTAATCTTTTGCCCTTGGGTATCTATCTCTACACTTGTACTGTATAGCAACTAAAAATATACCTAGTGGAATTACTTTTTTGAAGTAGACCCTCTCCTTTTAAAATTTAAAAGGACAGAAACAACAAAACAAAATCTAATAAATGGACTGAGTTATGTATAAATTCCTTGCAATATGGAGTAAGATTTAACAAATAAGAGAGGAATTTACAGATCATATTCACTGATGTCACAGAATGACAAACACATTGTATGAAAACGGTAACTATAACATTATCTTCAATTTCCCCACAAACTGTTTCTGTTCCTATATTTGCTACTATTTCTACAGTTTTTTCTGAATAGTCTTTTATCGTAGTTAATGAAGGTAATTATGGAATTCATGTGCGATCTGAAGCTGTAGCCAGTGTAGTAGGACTAAGTTCTGACGCACCCTAGCCGAGCTATAGCTGAATAGATTCGGAGAACCCGTAGAGGCGGTATAGGAAAAAGCACTAAGGGATTGAGAAGAACTAGGTGGCAGGTAGCGTTTGTTAAAATTCGAAGGAAGTACATAGGTAGTACTGATTTGCTATGTGTTTGAGGCTGTTGTATTGATAGTGTGAATGCCGTCGCATAGTCCTTTGGAAGGTGTATTAGATTCATTATTAGATTCATTTGGGACAGCAGCGGGCACAAAATCCATATTATCTTTGCAGGGCGCTTCTATCATGGATATACTAAGGTAAGATACGTTTCTTATTTCCTTTACTGACAGTGTTCATCGATGACCTCTTCTGTGAACATTTTCGAATTTTATTTCTCATTGTGTTATCCCCCTCTGGAGAGTTGTTTCGCAGTTAGGCTGCTCGTCAGAGAATGTCAGATAAGCTAAAATATTTCGTCGACAACAACGTTCTACAGTATGATATGACCGAAATACAGATATTTTGTATATAACGATTTTGATTTATGACAAAAGTTAAACCTTCCTCCTTCGTATCTGTGAAAGTAGACAGAAAAATCCAAAATAATAATTNCCCACAAATTGTTTCTGTTCCTATATTTGCTACTATTTCTACAGTTTTTTCTGAATAGTCTTTTATCGTAGTTAATGAAGGTAATTATGGAATTCATGTGCGATCTGAAGCTGTAGCCAGTGTAGTAGGACTAAGTTCTGACGCACCCTAGCCGAGCTACAGCTGAATGGATTCGGAGAACCCGTAGAGACGGTATAGGAAAAAGCACCAAGGGATTGAGAAGAACTAGATGGCATGTAGCGTTTGTTAAAATTCGAAGGAAGTACGTAGATAGTACTGATTTGCTATGTGTTTGAGGCTGTTGCATTGATGGTGTGAATGTTGTCGCATTGCAAGTTGTATTAGATTCATTCATTTGCAGGTAAAAAAAAAAAGAATCATATCATTCATCGTGGTCATTTAAAAATGTATTAATCTTTAAAATCTTTTTGATAAGAATCATATAGCCATAAACTCGCTCATGTTCAGTATTTTCGCAATAAAATTTTTTATAAATCAAAGTGGATAAATTCTGTAACTTTAAATTTAATAATCTATTACAATCGCGGTTCAAAGTTTCAAAGAGTCTGACTTCATGTACCTATGTACAGTTCAAATATGACTTTATTGTGCAAAAGGCGTAGGTGTCCGAAACAGACAAGCGCTATTATTAATCGAATCGTTGGGAAATGCCTTATTGCCAGGAGCAAATCCAGGTACCTACCCATCTAGGTACAAAAACAACATCCAGCTTTGTGGATAGGAGTCATTTATTGAACCCACGCTCTATATTGTGACACAGCAGCTCCATTGATTGCGTCTGGTGCAGTTCCTCTGTAAAGCAGTCAGCGGGAGTTACACAAACAACACAGGTAGGTAATTCCGTAATTGTAAATTCACTCTTCAAGTAGCTCAAACATTGCATCCAGCAGCGCAGCGGCTTGCGTTTCAGGCACGCTCGCAAATAATCGATGCTGAGTTTGGACTTAACGCAGCCAGACACAACTACCAGACTAGTTGGTAAAGAACTTCCAACGGTGACGTAGGCAATGAACCGTAATCTCCAGTTGCGCGGGTTGCATTTGTTAGAACATTGTCTTTGTTAACAATCTTTCTAAACAAAATACTTGAATATAAAATAAATTGTTACAAATCCATCATTTTACAGACATTTAGGTACAAAGTGGTATCTGTTTATGACGCTTAGGGAAAGGTAAGGTTGTCGTTGCATCTTATACGTTCTCCAATATTTAATTAGAGTAAAATAAGTATTTCACTGTTGTAAACAAAATACACTGGTGGCGAGAATCGAACATATTCTGCTACATGCGATCATCAAAGGTTTACGATACCTACTGAAAAATACGAAGTGGTAGAGGAAAATTCGTACAAATTCTTTCCCTCATTTTTTTACATACAGAAAAAAGCAATATCTTAGATAGATGCTATTTAAAGTTTTGGTAATTGTCTAGCTTTGGAGCTCCAGACCAAAATCGCTCCAAAAATTTTTTCATCGATTTCCCTTCGCCTATTTCTTATTGATTTCCATAGAGTCCTCTGTTCTCTTACCCTTTTTAATACGTCTTCATTTCTAACCTAACCTAACCTAACCCTTCCTGTATCACCACATTTCGAACGTTCGTAACCTTTTCTTTTCCGCCGCGCTCACCGTCCATGCTTCGCACCCGTACAGCGCCGCGCTCCAAACATACACCTTTACCAATCTTTTTCGAATTTCGAAATTAATCTTTCGCGAGCATAGAAGTGACTTGTTTTTATTGAAGACGACTCGACCCTGCGCTATCCTCTGTCCTGACTTATCTAACTTCTTCGATACTTAAATCAATCACTTCTTCTAATCTTTCGTCTCCTATCTTTATACTTGCTCTTTTCCTATCATTCGCCTGTNAGCCCCCAACTTCTAATATCTAATTCTATTATATAGAATGATCGGAAATCGATTAAAAAGATTTTTGAGCGATTTTGGTCTGCAACCCCAATTCTGGATAGTTACCAAAGTTTTAGAGGGTTGTTGCGCTTTTTTCAAAAGATTATAGCAGTTCTGTCAGTTTAGGACAGTTATTTTCAGAAGTGACGATATAGAAGTGGTTAAAATAACATAGGTACTGTCCACACGTTCACCAAATCGTGTATATTCACCGGTGCGACATATAAAGAAAAAATGCCAACTAAGAAATATGTAACTCTTATGTTCGTTGATTTTTTTGCCTTGCCTGTATAAAAGCCAGAAGCTTACACACTTATTTATAGTTGTTAAAGTATACACCAAAAACTGTGAAGGATGAAGCTAATACTTTTGTGAAATTCGGCTACGAACTAGGAAATGGAATTATGGAACTTATCAATCTCTGTACTACTAAAATAAAACACTTATATGTAGAACTGTAGCACACAGCCAAACAGTTCTAATGCTGGCTTAAGTGTAAACGTTATCCATCAAACAAGTATTTCCTGGAGTTCAATATTAAATTTTCTAAATTACCAGGTAGAAGTAATACACTTATCAAACACGAGAACAAAGGCTTATTTTAAACCGTTGTGGCCACAGATTTTTTAAGATCAAATTCCCTGATTTTTCCAGGCTTTCCAGAAATTTGATTAAAAATTTCCCGACAAAATTTAGAAATGTTAAATTATTTATTTACATGAAAGAACGTTAGTTCATAAATGAATATTATAAGTAATAAATTATTACTTGTGTGTTTTACAGAGTTTTTATTCATATCTATCAAATAAATATACTTAATATTAGTAGCGTTAGTAATACGAAGTAATANTTCGATGGTTAAAGATTTTCGATTTCTACTTTTTTCAATTTTTTCCAGTCTTCTTGTAAAATTCCCTGCCTATTCTAGAAAGTTTAGAATTCCCTGATATTTCCAAGTTTAACATAAGTATCTTAGATAAAAATTAAAAAAAAAATTATAAGTGAACCGTTCGAGGCATCACTTATGGAAGCTTACAATGTTTTTCAGCAATGGGCTATTGGGATAAATTGTAAATATCGCTTTAATATTTAGGTAAATTTTCCTTTTTCATTTTCTCTGAGTAGGTAATTATCAAAAAGGGGTACTAAAAGTTTCGAAGTTAATCTATTAATATAATAGCTACACATCGACAATTATTCACCCTACGACGTTCTACGTATTAAAATTCATGAAATTCTGACTTGAATATTTGAGTAACGCATATGTCGCGAAAGTAATTAAAACAACACGAGATTATTAGAAAGTTAGCAATTTAATTCCAATTTGCCATGCCAAAGAAAATCAATAATATGAAAACGGTGTTGATTTTCATCATCACCAATTAATTTATATTGTGTCAAATAATTACGTATACTTGAGATGATTTAATGTTTCATAAATTAAGTCAAATACAGGACGTTTAATATAATAAGGAATCAGCTGCTAGTACACCGTCATCTTAAGAAGAAATATTAATTAGAGGACAAAATATTTTTTTGTAAGAAAAACTATAAATTCTGTGTTATGGTACAAAATTATTTTCCAATTATTTTTGCGTTTATTGAATTACGGTTTGAATGGATAGGGCTAATTTTTGTTTAATGGTTTATTCTCTAAAATTTTAATAACTAACCAGTTTATATAATTTTCGAAATAAGAAAATGGAATGTTGTATTTTCCATATTTTTCTGATAAATATGGTTATTGTAATTTGTATGCTTCTATATCAATCTCTTAAATTTTTATCTCCGTTAAATTCTTATTTTGAATTATTTTATTGATTCCTTCTTTGATGATTCTTCAATACCCATCACGTTTCTGTGCAGAAAAAATTTAAACGACAAAACGATTAGGTAGGTACAAATACCTAATTCTACCGAATACATACAAATATATATATATCCCGATATTGAAAACCTAATTTTAATCATGGATTTGAACTTTTTTGTCCTTTCAAGGCTTACGAAAATTCACTGGCTGTAACAAAACATCCACAACACCCACTTTATTGAAAAATGATCGGTTCCATCTATTTTCTTTTTCATTCTATCATACTTGGCATCTGGTACTCATTAAATGCGAAATAAAATGCAATTTACATTCATAAATACTAAGTTTCAGTAGCGTATTGTTAATTCTGCCACCGAAACCTAAATTTTAGCGCCTTTCTTATTTACACTATTAGGTAAGATCTTTTATTTCAATTAGTCGGAATTGACGTGAGAAGGTGTTCACAAAGACTTACATTTTTAATTTAGCTTTTGAACAGAGGACTCTATTTCTAACCTTCTCTATTCACGGTACATTCATTATCCTCATCATTCGCCTGTAACACCTCATTTCGAACGCTTCTAACATTTTCTTTTCCGCCGCTCCCACTGTCCATGTTTCGCACCCGTACAGCGCTTGCCGTACGCCAAATATACACCTTTAACAATCTTTTTCGAATTTATAAATTAACCGTTAGTGAGCATAGAAGTGACTTCTTTTTATTGAAGGCTCCTCGACCCTGCCCTATCCTCTACTTTATATCCCTACTACTCCTTCCGTCCTGACTTATCTGACCTTATAATCTTTATATTGGCTCTTTCCCTACTTTTTCTTCGCTTGCATACCAGTATTTTTGTTTTATTTTTATTTGTTGGCTGCCCAGTCGTAGACTAAGTTTGCCAACCAGGCCTAGGCCAAAGTGACAAATCAGATATTTGTCATGCATGGTTTATTATTGGAAAAATCTTGGACCGGTTTTGGGCCAGGTCTTGCAGTGTCTTCCTACATGGGGTAACCTCAAACAAGCATTTACTAGAACCACATACATATTCATTTCATTCATTTTGATTTAATCTGCTTGTATAAATATACTTCAGAAACAATACCAAAAAAATATTCTTTATAAAATCACCTTTAATATGCGTCGGAGGGAAATGCCTTCATTTTAGGTATTGTTTCCATTTTTAATGAGTTAGGTTTCTCCAACAAAAGAAATATAAGCCGCTAACAGTATTCGGAGTTTCATTTAGAAAGGAAATGTGTCGCAATTTCAAAAGCTTCTAAGTCTATTATATAACGGAACAGAAAAATGAGCAAGAAAAATAATGATAAAACGTTAAAATTTTTTTGAACCAATTATTTCATCTTCATACATAAGTATTTTCTAAAATTAATCCTACAAAATAGTCGTGATGACAGTTTATAAATACATAGGTCATCATCATCATCATAAGGTCGTCAGTCCTAAGACTGGTTGGACACGTACCTCCACTCTTTCCTATCCTGAGCTAAACTTCGCATTTCCCTAAAACTAGAACAACCCACATCCTTAACTATTTGCGAAGAG